GTGCCTGTTGGATATTTAAATGGGGATAACAAGTATACTATTGTATATGAGAGGTCCTTGGAGCAATCAGGGCTCCAGGGACATCAAGCTTTAGAAGTGATGAGTAAACAGTCAAGCACTATATTATGGATGTTTCAGTCAAGATTGGCTGTATATACAACTGTGGTTCCAATAGGTCCTACCATATAGCCTACGAGTGTGCAGCCAGCCCTACCCTCTAGGTTTGTGTGATTACATTCTATGACATTAGCACAGTGACAAAATCACCTAAGCGTACATTCCTCAGAATTGTAACCCCATCAATAAAAAACACGACTATAGATAGGGTTTTTGAAGCATTGAAATTCCCTAGGAAATGACAGTGATGTTGAGAAGTAAGCCTGGATTGATATCTAAAACATCCCAATATTTAGAAGAATTAGGCAGAGAATTGGAAGCCAAGAGAAGACACTGAGATGTGTAAGATAAGATTTACCATAAATAGAAAAAAGAAAGAAATTTAATTAGTCGTACAGGTTAGATGCTTTGAAAAAGTCAAGACTAGAACAAATAACCATTGGATTTGGCAACATGGAAATTAGTAGTGACCTTAATTAACAAGGGCAATTTCTATGAAGTAGTGAAGTCAAAGTCTGATTGAAGTGAATTAAGATACTTCAGGAAAGTGGACTATATATAATTTCTTTTGAAGAAATTTTATTCTAAGGCAAGAAAAATAGAGCAAATAGTTGGGGGGAGATGTGGGGTCTAGAGGTTTTTGGGGTGTGTGCGTGCATTTTAGGAAAGGATGTTAGAACACATTTATATACTGAGAATGATCTGGTAAAAAGAGAAAACTGATAACCCTTAATAATAGAAAAAGAACTTGAAAAGTAGAAGGATTAGCATTCAAAGCATAAGTAGGAGGTTAGTTTTTGATAAGAGGCAGACTCAGAAGGAGAAAAGGAAGAATGTGTAATCTGCACATAGGTTGGTAGATGTGTGGTAGAAGGTAAAGGTATTAGTAATGGGAGTAGTTTTAGATTACCAAGATCAGATCAAAGTCTGGGGAGTAGGAAGAAGGAGAGAAGTGTAAGTAGTTGGAAAGGGAAAAAATGAGTGAGTGTGTGTGTGTGTGTGTGTAACACCCAATCAGTGGGTATTTGTGTGTATGTGAGACACCATAGGAAAAAGATCTATTATATGAAATATTTTAAAGCCATTTTTACTAAGTATTTTTGAGATCTCGTATTTGGAAGACTGGAACTGAACTCTGTGCTTTCCAAGAACTCTGATAACAGAAACCTCTTTCCCATAATGTAGAGAACTTCTCCATTTAATGTTATTTTTGCCTATTACAAAGTAAAAGGCAGAAAGTTTGTAGCTATTCTGTTATAATTCTAGGCCAATGAAAATTAAGTTAGCTTATTCCTAAAAGATATGTATTATATATTCAAGTTGTCAATTTTCTCATATACTATTCTGAAGAATTTTGAACCCCATCTGCATTTTATTAAAAAAAAAGAAGATAATCATTCAGGAAAACAATATTTTATTTTATTTTGTTTTCTTATGAAAAACATTAGTATCATCTGTCACTTAGGATAAACATATGGGCAATATGGTTATTTTGTTGACTCCATCCTCCCAACTTTATATGAAGGATGTGATCTTTTAATATACTTAGGACTTTATTTCTGGATAGGCTTTACGTAATACAATGTGTTGGAATTTATAGGTGCATATTTATTCTTTGGATTTGATGTAAAATTATATTGTGAATAATGGAATGAGATTGTGCTCCTTTTTTTTTTCCATTTTAGCATAGTCCAAAATATAAAGTATGTGTGTACATGCAAGTATGTATTTAATTAAACACATATTTAATTGGTCATGAAAATATTAAATAGTAGGTGACAGTTGCAGTGTATTCAAACTACAATTATAAAAATCTGCAGCATACAGGTCCCAAAAATTGTATTAGTTAAAAACTAGTACAGATATAAAATACCTAGACAATATTTGTCCAGGTTAAGATATAATCCCTTATAACCAGTACTTGACTAATGAAAAACTGCAACTGAAAACATCTTTCTTTCCTATAACTATGAATATTCTTTTTAAATATATCTCTTTGTAACCTGTCATAAAATGACTTAACCATTAATTTCAGATTGAGCACTGTACCCATCTACTCTTGCAAAATTGAAAAGATCTGTTTGTGAGAATAAGGAGGTGCAGCACTATATGTTCCCTACTTTGATACTACATCACAATTTAGAATTTCACCATACGCCTTCCACTCAGGTTTCTTACCACAGACTATTCTCCTTTTTGGTTTATTACATATGGTAGAGAGATAAACACAGTAAAGGTTGTTACCAATTGAACTGTAATCCTACCTATTACCTACTTTACTATAATAGTGAAGTAGGCTAGACTTACTTGAAGGTGGTATTATTTTCATCTTATAAAATCTGTAATATTATGATGTTCCATGTAAATTTTCATGTGCTGGCATGCTTCCAAGTTAATAGTGTTATAGAATGCTCAGCTCTCAATGAGGGATGTGGTGAATTGCATTACATATATCATCTATTTGCTGAAAGAATATGATGTTTAGCAAAACTACCTGCTGAGCAACATACTAAGATTTTTGTACAAAGTACAAATGACTAATTATTGTATTTTATTTTTCTATGATTTCCTAAGAGGCTTTATCAGGGTCTTACAGGTGGAGAAAGCCTGTTTATTAAAATATCTATTAGCAAATAAAAGTTACAGTTCTGGTGGTTGAATTTGTGATTTTTTTATTGATGCAGTTTTAATATTTTCAGTATTAAATCTAGACTGTTTTTACATATCTGAGTAATTTGGGATGCAAAATCAGCTATTTTTCAATTCTCAAACCTCACTAAAGGCATAATTTCACACAAATCACTATAAATAACTGGTTTACACATTTTTATATAAACACATATTCTCTAATCTGGCAAAATATTTTGTGAGATTCAAATGTTCATTGCGGTAGTGTACTGTACACAAATTGCAGATCACTAAAAAAACACTACATCCAACTTTTCAAATAACTTTAAACCACCAATAATTTATTGCAAAAAAAAACTTCCAATCATGCATCAGGGATTTTTCTATAATCTTTTTATTTATTTATGCATACAAAACTGGGGTACAAGACAGAGGTGCAGGGGCGGTGAGAGGATTTACCAGAGACAGAGTGGGGAGCAGAACAGGCAGAGAGACAAAGTACACTGCTGAGGGGAGTAGCAGGCGGGTCAGGAGAGGACTGCCTTGCCATGTGAATCACCTTCGGGGTGGGGATGGAACTCATCCTGAATTGGCTTTAGCTTCTTAATGCTGTGCTAACCCACTGCACCACCAGGGAAGGCCGGAGTGCAACAATTTTTAAGCAGAGTTTGAAAGCATTGCCAATTGGCATAGCTCTAAAACAACAAATTCAGCTGTATCAAGATTTTTTTAAAGATTGAAATGGCCAAAATGGCAGCTTCTAGATTATTTAGTAACTGTTTAATTACCACTATTCCATTTCTATTAATAAGTATTCAACTACACTTTAAAGTGACTACCTAAATTTTTGTACAGAAATTATGTACCTGCCTAAGTTTACAGAAAAGCTGGATATAAACTCACAGTTCCAATTTTCACCAAATAGTTTACATTATGAAAAAATATAACTCACTCTAATGGCAAAAAATATCAATTCCAAGCAATAGTCTGTCCACTAAAATTTTCTGGAAAATAATTATTATGTCCAAGCGGGGGAGGGGGGAGAGTCAAATTGCAACAAGGAAAGTAGCTTCCATCGACTTTGAAAATAGCTCACAATGTCCAGACACGGTAAAGTATTCAACACCTCCCTGTAAATGTCTTGAGTCAGAAAGACCCATCATCTACTATGTTCCAAATATACATGTGTGCATCTATTTAATGCTCAAAACACCAGATGAGAGAGTCTCTTTTTGAAGGTGAGAAGCCAACACATAGAGAAGGGTTCATTGGCCTGAGGCCACACAATAAAGATGATATTTCATACTCCATTTTAGAAGGACATTTGACAGTACTGTTAGGATTTGCTTTTCAAAAGTCACTATCCCCAAAAATGACAAACACACTTGAAAATTTGTAAAAATGACACACTTGAAAATTTGTGAAAAACGAAAAGCACCCCCATAATTATACACATACAAACTCCTCCCTACCATCATTAGTTCTTAATATAATTCCTTCAAGTCTTTTTTCCTCCCTCCTGAATGCCATTCATCTGGAGTGTTTGGTAGTAGATTAAAAGTTGACCCAAAATCCTAAATCTTTAAAATTACTGTATCTGTAGTGTGTTCTTTGAGAAGCATAGGAGTGAAAATGTAGAGCAACTTCAAAGTCTAAATATTTTCAACTGGAAGATTATTTGTCACGACGATTCCCAATGCAATGGAAAGAACCTAATTTAAAAAGTCGGAATATTCTTTCCCTGACCACTCGCCGATCTGATTACTAGGAGGGCAGAAGAGGAGGTAGTTGTAATCTAATCAACCGATTCTGTTTCCTGGAAATCAGGCAGCTGAAAGCCCTAGAGTACTGGCATATTTCCTTTGCCAAGATGCCTTTGCCTTTTTGCACCAGTTCTTTTCCCTCTCCCTACCTAAGTTAACAGTTCTACTTCTCTAGGTTTTCAGGCTCTGTGGCTTGAGTCCGCAAGAGAGTAGACGAGTGGCAGTTTGCCCGATCGGGCTCAGTCAGGTCCTGCGGTTGTGGCCCCCACTCTTGGGTTGCGACAATGCAATAATACACAGAGAATGCTCTACTCTCCGAGGGGAGCACCAAGCGTCCGCCGCTGGGAGCTGATCTTCCAGAACTGGTAGACCCGAGCCGCGATAACATCCCGCAGGAAAGGCGGACCCCCAGCCCTTCCCAGCAGGCTGCGCGCGCGCCTACAACTCCCATCATGCTCCACCCAGGTCGGCGCGGCTCCTCGCCGGAAGGGGGTCAGTTCACAGGCCACCCTTCCCCACACGGTCTTGAAGACTCTTTGGGCACTTCTGGCATTTTCCCGGAGCTCTTCAAGCCCCAGAGCAATAACACTGCGGCTAAGTCGTTCAAACCCCCACGGAGGCGTGGCTTCGGAACCGGAAGAACCTGGGTTGCCTAGGAAACGCCACGCGCCGAGGCGCCTACCCAGCCATTGATGTTTAGGCTGAAGCGGAGGCTAACAGTTCCACCAATTTGAAGAGAGGAGGCTTTGCTCTGGACCACGGATCCTTTCTGTGGAGAAACGTAGCAGAACTGAGGCATCCCGGCGCTAGATACCCATCCCAAAGACGGGTGCGTCCTTTCCTGTTCGTCATCAGCTCCGCGCCCGCGGGACTAACCACAAAGGCAGGTATCAATCTCCCCATCCTCAGTAGCCAACGCTCCTGCCCCGGCTCTCGTTTTAGGATTGATCTTCCCCATGTTTTGCACACACTGCGCATAGTTGTTTCTAATATGTGAGAGCTGCACAGGAAGTGGGCTTGCGTGGTGAGTATCAGCTCATTGAACTGGTTTGGGCAGGATTTTGTTTGGCTGGTTTGAGCACTGTCTCATTAGACCATTTTATTCGATGTGTAAGAAGTAGAAGTGAATTTTCACCAAAAAGCGTAAGCAGAATAAAAATGTTAATTTGGAGTAGTCAGGATATACAATGATTCATCCCACAAAAATTTTCAGAGTTTACGAAATACCAGTCATAATGTTTTCTGTACCCTAGCACGCGTTCTCTCTCCTTGTCGCTCTTCTCCCACGTTCAGCCTCTCAAGTTTGGACATTACTTCTGAAAGCCAGTAGTTCTGAATAGTGACTCTATATCAATATGTAGCTGTAGCTTTTTTAAATATATGCTTCCACCTTAAGAATAGTAATTCAACAGGTGATTCCAGTGTGCTGCCAGGATTGAGAACCGATACTATTACTGTAAGAAGCTACAGAAAGTTTTTAATTGGCTCTCTCATTGTGCACTTAGGACGTGGTAGATAAATGTTCAGTGGCATGAACTATATTATCTCTTATTTTTTTCATTTTTGCATGGAAAAAGTAAACTTCAGAAACTTATAATTACTAAGAAATAGAAAATTCATAAGCTATATGATAGCTGTTTGTGAAGCGACTTCCATAAATGCAGTTGCACCTTTTATAGCAACTGACTTCTCCTAAATTGTATATCTCGAAATATTTCATTAAACATTATTTGACAAGCTATGAATAAGAGTCAGAAAATCGCTAGTCAAGGTGTAATGATAAATTAATATTAAAGTATCTGATACTTATGAAAATTGATATAGTATTGCTCATAGGAGGGAAATGTGAGAAGTGGTCATCTTTTTAAAAATCTGTTAAAACTGTATAGAATGAAGAAAGTAAAACTATGTCTTTATATACTTTATTTACTACAATAAATAACAAAGTTGATAATAAATTTACTTTGAATTTAAATGGTCTCTGTAAATTAGACCGTGTCATCAGAAAGCTCAAATATATTCTACAAATGTGTATCCTCAAGATGTGATTTAAAGGAATGAGTTGACTGATTTTTTAAACTTGAACAGAAGAAGAAAAGTTGATTCTGTAACACAAATATAGAACCTGAGCTAAATCCCATCCCTTGAGTATGTCACCTGTGGCTCTGTTACATCCCACATTCTTTGAGGATGAAGGTACAGCTCCTTTTTTCTGCATGTCATTAGAGTTCAGTTTTCAGAGTTGTACCCATGATGATCCTGCCAGCAACCTGAGCAGACTCAGTGATGCAGCCTCCTTTCAGTCAATACTCTTGGAAGCTTCTTGTCATTTCACTTACTACAAAGCTTTACTTCCTTCAAGACATTCTATTGGATGACATGGAATCAAAAATGTTGAAGGAGTTGGAACCTTAGATGGAAATAAGGAGATATCTATCATCTATCTATCTACTTATAGATAGATAGATAGATGGATATAGATATATCAGTTATGAGATTAGTATTTAAGGAACTGAAAATGATAGGAGAGTAATGGCAAATGATTGGAATACACAGATACTGCGATTATTACTGGTACTGTCGCTACAGCAGCTGAGGGCTGGCAAGGTGGGGTGATCTCTCTTCTTTCACCATGTAGTAATGTTTTGGGGCATTGTTACACCCAAAGGTAAATCCCTTGGAAAGTTTCACTTGGAGAACTAAAGTCTAAATTTAGTAATACCGTGCAAGGATATGTGTAACTGTAAAACTACTGCATAGCAAGCCATGTGTTAGCAGCAGTTTTATTTGACTTCAAAATATTACTGCCTTTGGATTGCTGAATGGAGATTTTCTTTTTCAAGCTTACATTGAAAAGATATTTTTTTCAAAAAAAGTAAAAACTGATAAATGAACATTCCAAGGGAAATTTAACAAAGAAACTTTTATAGAATTTGAGAAAACTAACTAAAAATCTAAAATCACAATATTCTATAAAGTTCCTGTAAAGTAATACTTAACAGGATGTTTCAGGTAAGTTACAGTTTTAAGACAACCTATTTTAGTAAGGTTTAATAAAATTATGTCTATTTTATATGTAACCTTATCGCCAAACTGATATATAGTAACTTCCAAATATTTGTGTAAGAACCATAGGAAAATAGGGATAAATATGCCAGGATTCTTTGTAGGTACTCATAGAAAACTCAACCTAAACTGGATACAATCAAGCAGTGGTACTGCAAATTAAAACAATGGTTTCAGAAAAAAAAATTAGACAAAGACTTAACTGCTAAAGACAAAATCTTGTTTTTTTTTTTTTTATATTTTCTTCTGTGCCTTCTACTTTCTGTGTTAGCTAAGTTCAGCCTCTGTGAACTGCATTCCCCAGATTTAGAGATTTCTGAAAGAAGCTGCAGTTCGTGTAAATTTTCAAAGTATCATAAATGTCAGACCCACATAATAGTAAGTTTAACCATGTTTTCTTAAATATTTTAAATTGCAATGAGAAATGTGCATGTATTTCAAGGACATCATTCTGTATTACCAGGTATTAGAACCTGCTAATCTGCATTTCAGCTAAGGCTCCTTTCTAGTAATCAGCTTATACTCTGTTTACTAAATACAAAGCAATGTTGACATGGTTTTAAAATATCACTATGTGTCTAATTATTTAATTTTTTGATGCACATGCTCATTTAGTTGCTTTGATTAATAACTTTTTTCCTGACTTGCAGGTGTTTTGCAAATATTTGAATCATAGCATGGGATTGCTAGACAGACTTTCAGGCTTGCTAGGTCTGAAGAAGAAGGAGGTTCATGTTTTGTGTCTTGGACTGGATAATAGTGGCAAAACAACAATCATTAACAAACTTAAACCTTCAAATGTAAGTATTTTTGTGAGATCCTTTATTTATTTTCTGCTAGAAAAAATTATTATAAAAATTATTTTATTTGCCATTATACATACTTATGTTATGAAATACTACTAACTTTCTGGTACTTTAAAGTAGTGTGAGTCAGGCCTACTTGGCAATGTATTTTATGCAAGTATAAAGACTTAGTTAAATCTTGATTTTTTTTTTTTT